AAGAATATTTCCCTAACAAAACCCAAAAGAAAAGAGCTGTGGATGTGCATTTCCCAGAAATTTCCCGCAAGCACCTGCCACAGACGCGAGCATGAATAATTTTTTCATAACATAATATTAACAATAATAATTATTGTGCCCCCCCCCCCCCCTGTAGGCTCCACAACGTCGCCATGTTCCATGTTGCCAAACTTCCGGGCAGACGTTCCCTCGGAGCCCCTAAAGCATTTCCCTGATTTCCCCTCAGGTTTTTCTTTGTGCCTTGGGTCGCCTGTGCCCCTTCTGGGGTTAAATCATAAAAACTGGAAAATAATAAACAAAACATTTCAATTGAACGTGAAGGAAAACTCGTAGTGCACATAAATGATTCAAAAATTTGTGTTCCATGCGAGAGAAAGGGTAAAGAGAGGAGGAGGGAGCTGCCTCCGGAATTCGTATGAAAATATCTAAGTAAATAGGAGCAAAGCCTGCTCTGGCCTGTGCCAGCGAAATAAATTCAACAAAATAAATAAAAGCCCTGCACGCAGTATGCCCAAAGCAAGTGGCAAACAACTGCTGCAGGCTATAGAATATATATCCAACTATATATATATGTATATGGAAAGAAAGATATCTGCATAAAACCAGGAGTGGCAGTGAGGAAGGTCTTGTCTGGCCGATCGATGGACAGACAATTTACGACAACAATATAACAAATCAAAAATTCACAAATACGCATTTCCCCCAGCCCACGCTTTTCCGACACATTTTCTGCCTTCCTGTTTTGAGCCAAAGACTTTTTCCTGGTCAGATTTCCATTTTGATTGCCACTATTATACGCTTGTGTATTTGTTTAGGCCATTTAGGGTTGTCTTACCAATTGGTTTTATTGCTCTATAATTACTTCTTCAATATTTACTTTGATCGGAAAGGAACTTACAGGGAATTGTATCTTAATTTAGAGCTTACTTGGGGAAAGACAACGAATTTTAAGGAGATGTTTAGCAGGGACTTCCCGGAAAGTATTGTAAAAATATTTATCAACTTGTAAATAATCTAAGAATTTGCTTATAAGTGTAGCTATGACGCTCGACTTTTGTTTTTATTGTCTTGAATTTGTTATTTACTTTCTTGAATTGTGCCAAAACTGACCCTAGACAGGCAACTATATATGAGATATATAACGAAGTAGTAAGAGTAATTAACCTGTCATCGCCGGAGAACAATCAGCGAGAGTGCCGGAATTGGAAAACAAAGCCAGGCTGATTTACTCTTCTATAAGAATCTCACTGACTGTCTCTGTGACTAACTAGATCAGGCTACGAGGCAAAAATGTGTCTACAGATTTACGACTCTCGCCAAGGGTACTAACTTACCCTCGGAATCCTCCGTCGTCGAAGCAAATAGAGCACGTGGAGCGTGCTGGCGAAGACAAGCATTTGACATTTATGTGCAGGAAAATGCATTTCCCGGAGTACTCGAACAAGGCAATCCGAGGCAAGTACTGGCCGGAGTGCTGCGGTTCAAGATCATTTGCATTCACCAGCAGCCAAAAGAAAAACAGATAGACACTTGGAAAAATGGGGATATCAAAATAATATATAAAGTTACCAGGAAAATATATATTATAGGCAAAGAGAATAAACGATTTTTCAATGCTATAATAATCTGGAATTTTATGGAAATATATTTAAACAAGAAGGGAATCTTTTTAGGAAAGAAATGACCCCTTAACTGTTTAAAACTGCAAGGGTATAAAAATAATGTACAAAATCTTTAAGGATAATTACTATTTAACTAAGGACTGAGAAGGATATCTAAAATTTCAAATGAAAATGATATTCCCCAGTGTACAGTGTCACTTGCACTCCGCTCTCCGAGCAAAAGAGATCGTCCACTCGAAGATCGACCCTCGCTGGAACATTCCGCAGCCTCTCGCCTTTATGGACTCCGAAATGTGCAATTTCTGCTCTGGTCCACACAGAGATTTTACGAGTTTTCCATAGGTTCCAATGTGCCGGGCATCTGTCTGTCTACTCGGAGAGTTACTTGGCCCAATGTACCCAGTCCACTTAGGAATTCCATGGACAGACCACATGGAGTCGCTCGCCTTTAGCCACTTCACTTTTCCTTCTTCAGTTTTCCTAGCTGCCCCTGGAGGAATAGTGAAAATGTGTGTTCCCTTAGCACAATTGTTGGCAAGATCTAGCTGCAATTTTTAATGTGCATTTCTATACCCTCGGGTGTGTGTGTGTGCGAGTGTGTGTCGGCCTTTGATGCTCTCGAGTTGCAGTTCCTGTGTTTCCCCTTAATGTGCCGCGAATATGTCGCCTTGTAGCCTTATTATGGCCTTCTATTTTTGGCCCATCATTGATGACAATTTTCATGTTGGCAGTGAGGCCGAAAGGGAAATGATGCAAAAATATACATATATGAGACAAAAGCAGGGAAATTGGATGATTAGGGGAGGTATGGAAATAGAAAATATAACAAAAATTAACAAACTAAAATGATTAAATTAAACTCAAGCCGAAACCTTTACTTCTTTCTTCAAAGAATACTTATAAATAATACAGACTTTCCCTAGTTTTCCTTCAATTTCAAACTTCTCAAATAATCTTCTCTGGAATAACCAATTTGTTTTGATTTTTTCCCATGACTTTTTTCAAAAGAATATTTCCCCCACCGCCCAAGTTCTCAGGGTCCCTTAAAAAAATCCATCTCATAAATGTTTCCTTCAACAAATGACAGAGAACATCATCGGTTGTTTGAGGAACCCAAAAACCACAGACAACAACAGGCGGCGTACTCAACTCAAACTTTGACACTGATAGGACACGGGGAATACTAAACCGGGAGTTCACCTCAGATACATGTATCTATATATATATATATAGTATCTTTTGCTATCGGAACTCATCAAATATGCACGACGGGCACAAGACATAAGGCCTGGCTCACGGATGGAAAATGCTAAGTGGAAAATTGTTAGCTAGGAAAGGGATTCGATTTGAAATCGTGGACGATACTGCGATGCAGTGATTATATATTTGATCATGCGAAAAGCGCACGCAAAAGAAAAACATGCGCAGGTACAACCTCAACAATAACAACAACAAAGTTGTTGCCTCTGTTCAGGAAAAGTGAGTTTTCCTTTGGAGGAAGATCGAGCGATCGAGCAAGCGAGCGAGGGGTGAGCGGTGAGTTCTGAGCTCTGATTTGCGAGGGGTGAGTCTTAAGAGTGTGTGCGTGGGTGCCTGCAATATGGCAACCATATTGAAACACTGATCCCGTATGCGTGTGTGCGTGTGCGGGGGAGGGAGAAAGGGAGAGGAAGAGTGGCATAGGAGGCGAGTGCAAGGGAGAGAGAACAATGTTTTTATGCTACCTGCACTGAGAGAAAATATCAACAGAATATTGTTTCGGAATTTATGAATTTTATATGGTAAAATAAACCCCATATTTTAAATTGAAATACCTGTGATATTTTAACGAAATTTGTGTAATATTTGGGTATTAGATATGTCAATATATAATTTGATACCATATAATATTGATGGCAATAATTGATCGATGTATCATTCAATATGCATTTCTAAGACTTCTTCTTCAGATTTTAAACTTATATTATATACCTGAAAAGAGTTAGATTCCATTATTTATCCTATGGGTATTCAAAAATGTATTTTGAAATAGTATTAAGCACCAAGAATTTGACAATTTATTATGATCACAAAATACACCATATTATAAAAGATAATTTTTTATATATTTTAAATGAGTTTTTAATTAGTTTAAATTTAACTAAAATTCTGTAAAATATTGTACAAAATAGTTCTCAGTGTGTTCTGCACGTTGATGGAATGGTTGATGGAATGAAGAAGCGAGCGCTTGGTAAATGTAAATAAAAACCAAAACTGAGGAGGGATTCTCTGCGCCGGCAGAGCCGCTGGCCGAGGCAGCAGCGACATCGGAGAACGCAGAGGAGCGGAGTGTTTTGTTCTCGTTGGAGTTTTAGAATTTATTCCGTTTCGGGATGTTAATGCAGACGCACGCGCTGCGCGATCTAAAGAGAACTTAACTGAAGTGAAACTCGCAGTTTACCGCCTGAATTTGAATTGAGATTTGAATTTATGGTATTTTGCCGCGCTCACATAAACAACAATTTCTCATTTGTTTTGTTTTTCGCCTGCCATTTTTGGCACTCGCGCCGCTTTGTGTTTTTCCCGTTTTCGCGCCTGCGCGCCTACATTTTGGCGCGTGCGCATGCGCATTGGAAGTTAAATTTGATTTGGAACTGAACGTGGAATTGCAAGAGTAATTTTGCAAGTGAAAGTGCAAATGCATCGCAAATCAGAGAGCTCTGTTGTGTGATAGACTCGTCGAAGACTCTGCTTAGACAAGTAAAAGTTAAACCGCAGGATCTCAAGATGTTTGTCACTGTGGATAACACAAACACCTTCTTCTCAGGTATAACTTATGGGGAAAAGTGGGTTAGAAGTTTTTAGTGGCTTCTGCTAAATTATTATTATAATTTTTTAATAATACTAAAACAAAACTAGCTTCGCGAAGCCGAAGTTGATGTTCTTTTGCTGTTTGCACTGGAATTATAGGATAGAATCGGAAATCTATCATAACTAAGCTTTAAATAATCCCATTCCTTAAATCGAAAAATCACAGCTTAAAAAACTAATAACTAAGTCAAAAAAGATTTAATTTTAATTCGGAAAGCAGTCCTATGTTAGTTTTTATTAGCTTAAAAAATCTGCATACTAAATTTAACATTTCAGAAAATTGCAGTTTTTTTCAATTTTAAACAATTTTTTAATTAATTATAAAATTTTAAAATTAAAAAAAAAATGTCAAAAATTTATTTTTTGACCAGACATGGCTTGATCGATCCAGTTTTTGATGCTGATCAAGAATATACATATATAATTTATAGGGTCGGAAATGACTCCTTCCAGTGTAACACTCATCTCAAATTTAACTCCACCTTTTATTTTCTATCTCCCCAACAGATAACCCCTATTATTTTTGCAATGATACCAAGTCACCCCGCACCCCGGACTCGCAGTCCTCCAGCCGGGGCTTCTCCCTCTTCAAGCGCCGGAACTCAAAGGGCGCCAGCAGCCCGCGTCCAATGGTGGTGACCAATCCGGAACAGATGCGTCTGATCACATCCGCCAATCTGGACACCACGGCCACCATGGCTTTCGGAAGTCCGCGCGGCAGCTTCAACTCCCTCGGCGGTTTCTCGCAAGTAAGTTAATGGAGCATAAACTCCATCCGATTCCGGATTTTGGATTTCAGATTATGATTGCCTGAGTCCGATATGTGGTTCTGATTTATCTGGTGAATCTGGCACTTCCTGTGCACTTCTAATGCACCGCCCTCTTCCGCTTTTTCAACTAACTCTTTGCAGCACTCTTTCGAAATGCAGCCGATGCATCACATGTACCGCCAGAGATCTGCCAATTCGCACTCGGAGTTCCGGGAACGTCTTGGCTCCTGCAATGAGACACACAGCTCCCAATGTCCCGGAGGTGGAGGTGCAGGAGCTGGAGGAGATCACGACGAGGTCTTCAATCCAATGACATCGCCAACAAGGTGAGACATCCGAAGAATTGAATTTTTTGGGGCAGGGGAATTGGGGTGATAGTGTTGGAGGTTTGGCATTTATTCGACAGAATTTTTTGATATAATTTAAAAGCAGATGTTGACTTATAATATATATAATTTTTTTCAATGTCTAAACTCTAAAATCTTGATTTTTATAATTTTTAAATATATTATATATTTGCTCTTATTTTATAAAGACTTTTCTGCCATCTCTGATCTAATTTAAAAGTGTGAGGGATTCTGGGATTTGGGCGTCAACAGGATGCAATTGCAGCTGTTGACAGTTCGTACCTCCTTCTTTTCCGCCCAGTGCTAATCGTTGGACTTTCCATTTTCTTTTTTTGCCCCTTCCCTTATTGCAGTAGCAAATCCCACAGGCATCACACTCTACCGAGTGGCGGAGCTCGTCGCCATTCCTTTGGAAACTGGGCCCAGCATCAGCACAACAACGCATCGGGCTCATCAGCGGGAGCAATGGGATTGGGATCTCCGGACGAGGTGCCCAGCATGATGGCACCACGTCCACCCCTGGTATCCCCTAACAAATTTCGTGGCAATTCGCACCGGCGAAGAGGTGAGTTCACTTGACATTTTTTTTAAACTTAGTATGCAATCTCTGTGTGCTGTGAATTCCTATGCTAATCGAGGGGTCAGTAAATAGAAAATAAAAGAAAAATAATGAGGGAAATTACCTGGCTATTAATAAATATATAAATTGTAATAGTAGAAGATAGCTTAAAGATGTCGTGAGAGACTTAAAGCAATTTGAATAGAAAATGTGAAGTTATGAATAACTTCTCAGTTCAATTTAAATTTGAATCAAATTCAAAATAAAGCCTCCAATTTATCGTAACCCTAATGCCTTATTTAATTTAACTTTCCCTTGTCGAGTATACCCCCAGAAACTTATTTAATTCACCCTTCAAGTTGTACCGCAGCCATGACAAAGACAAAGTGTTTGGCAAATTGCATTCCCTGCCCTCGTTTTCGCGTTCGCATTTTTGCACTTTGGCGGCTGTCAGGGAGGGGGTTTCCCTGTCTGTTCTGCTATAACAACCTTTACCTCGATGCTTTTAAGCATCACGTTTGCATATTAAGCGCCACTGCAATGCTCCTCTGACAGGCGCCACGAATCCGTAGGCCAAGGCCCACTCCCTTTGTCCCTCGTTTGAGCCAAGTTAACAGCATTGCAATGTTTACGCAAGTGATAATTGTAATCGCGTTTTGTCGCCACATTGTCGCCAATCTTTGTTTTGTGGCGTAATGAGGCGATCGTGAATATATATATTTAGATATGCTATATAGTGAGTAGTATATAAACCTGATCGCTGGCAACGCGCCTTCCTGGCTGACTGACATTTGCGACTGGCCTGACATTGACAGTCCTCCATCACGCGTGATGGATGCCCCCAAAGCGGGTAGCTGCATGCCAGATGCCTTCACAAATACCTTCTATATAAGACATGCACCCAGAGAAATATTTACTACAAATTCTAAACAAATTAAGGAAGGTTTAAACATACTAGAACAATTTACAAAGCATATAGTAAAGAATTATTATGCTCAAGGCAAGATTTGTTTTTGTTTATTACAAGTACAGGTAGTATTTAAAGTGTCTTATTTTCTGCATTTTATTCTTCTGTGTATATATATCTACCAGCTAAAGTCACAGGTTTATGGTTTATGATTCGCTCAGGACTTCTTTGCACGATCGTTGGGTATTCATCAAAACGTTTTCAAGGTTTCGCTTTCATGACATTGAGATATGATGGACAATCTGGAGTTGATTTAAAACACTTTCAGTTGAGAGGGATAAACCCCAGGCGATTTTTGAGGCTTAAGAGCTCAAAAGGAGTTACTCAAGTGATGGGCTTTCAATGTGGGTGGTATAAGAACACTTGAGGAAAAACTACTCTTTAGTTTTATTAAAATGAGCACAGATTAAAACGTTATTTTATTACTATTCTATTCTCTATAAAAACTGTGGGTGTTCCCCCTTATAGCTTTCATTCCCACACATTATTGCTAGCCATTAAAGCATAGAGCCCCCAAGGGAAGTTCATTTTATTGTTATTGTCATTATTATTAAGTATTATGATAACTGTTTGATACTTCCTTATATACCTTCTGTTCCTAGATATATGTACCCCTTCCATATTCGTCCCACTTTTCGCACTCATCGTAGCAGTTTGCAATCCATTCTAATTCCTTGCCTTATGCAGGAAACTAGGCAATTCCACACAATCAGCAATTAACCCACAACGCCCACAGGCAAGTTTTAACACCTCAAAAATTTATGGAAGCCACAAAGTTTGCCATATTGGCTGGTGTCGTTCCAGTGCATTTTCTCAATATTTCAAATAGAAAGAAGGGCGAGAGGAGTTATGTACATTTCCGCTTTTCGAGAAAAAAAAACAAAACCACAATAGACAGGCGATGGCCATTGCAGTTTGTTATTATGTTTGCTGGCCACATGGCGGATGGGTAATATGGAGTGGAGTCCATCGGTTGAAGTCAATAAACGAATGACAGGCATAAATTGAAGAACTGCACATTGTTTTTGGCCCGAGGGAACGGAACTTGTGCATAATTGATGATGGGCGGACTCCGGCCTTTTGGTTTCTCGCTCTTCCAGCCTTCTTTTTAGCTTTGTGGCCAACGAAACGTGTTAATGGCACGGAAGCGAGGAAGAAAAAAGAAGGGGAGCTGCATATGGCGCGTGCCAGGCAAGTGATTGGCCAAATTTGGCCCTCCCACAAATTGGTATTCAGAAATTGGCTAACAGCAAAACTGTGAATACATCAAAGCCAATCGAACCTGTGTTTACTTTGGCCGCTGGCTTCCTTTCCTCTTTTTTGATTTGGCCTGTAAAAAACGAAGACTCAAACGGCAGCAATATGCCATTTATCAATTTTACACAGTTTTAATTGCTCCTCGCTTGCTTTCAGCGGCATGTAGCAGGTGATTTGGGGTCAAATCGAATACAGAACTTGCACTTGTTTATCCAGAAAAAAGAAAAGTGCAGCGGAGGAAAGAGTTTTTCCCCCCAGTCGCGAGCTGGCTTCTGTTTTCAATTCTCTGGAACATCTGGAGAGTGTGCCATTGCCGCCACATCTGCCATCTTTTCCATCTTTTCCAACTTGCATCTCCACTCGGGGTTCAACACACTTCTAGCCTCCATCTGCGCATATCAAGCAGAACCAAATTGAAGAAGAAAAAACACCAAAAAACGCTGAGGGAGACCCAAAAAAATCCTATCGAGGAACACTCGACTCAAGTGTCTTCCTTGCCCCAACACCTGTTGCATTCATAAATACTAAGTATTGAGATTTGAGCAGAGCCGCCTTAATTAACATAATTTTTGGTAGGATAATAACATGGTTTTCTCTACCAAACAGATATTATAAATACTTGAATTTTGCTCACGTTTTTGATTTGCTGGAGGTTTCCTTTTTTGTGTCTTCTTGTTTGGTTGATTTTTTGTCCGTGACTTTTTGGGAAAAGTCAAGTCAGGGATAATGTGAAGAAATAATTATGCTGGATTCTGGTTAGATAACAAATTGATGTCTCAAAGATATAATATATATTTGTATGCAAATAAATAATTTTATCTATATAAAGTATAGAGACCTTAAAAGCCAAGGCTGGAATTGAATAGTTTTATATATTTCTTGGCATAATTTTTATTATATATACAAAAACAACTCATATTTATAGTAAAAACTCCTCTTCAATTTATTTATTTCGTAGTAAATATAATATATTTATTACTCCTTAATTCCCCTTAAAGATTTATCTACTATTAAAAAGCCAGACTTTAATCTCAGCTCGCCATCTTTCTGGTTAGCTATTGCAATTTACAAAAATCTTTCTCGCCGCATTAAATTTAATGATAATTTCATATTTTATTGCTGTTTATTGCGGCTGTTCCTTGTCTGGGAGTTTCTGTTGCTTCTGCTGCTGCTGCCATTTAAATGGCAGTAAATACAAAATATAAATTTTATTTGTTTACAAGCTTCGGCCTGGCTGCTAACTGTTAGGGAACCCCTTATCGAGGGTGGATGGGAGAGTTGTTAAAGACAATTGGAGATCTGTTGATCGCTTAAAATGCCATAACTCCGTTTATAGTCTCCCGCGGGAGGCGAATCCGGGGACAGAGCTCATTTAAAATGGACAATGCGTTGATTAAACGTCACGGGCACGTACAAAAACAAAACGTTGACTTTTATTATTTTATAATCTCCCAGTGCAACCAGAGAGAGAGAGAAAAAGTGAGTGAGAGAGAGCCAACTAATTGATATTCTTGGCACTCGGTGAAAAATCGGTAGAAGCCAAGTTAAGAGCCGAGCTTTTGCCAGTCGAAGTTGAAGGACTGTGGCAACTTGACGCTCCAAGCGTTGCGCATGCGCAGTGGCAAGGCAAACACAAACTTAGAACGCCATTAAAATATATAGAAACTATTTAAGAACAAAGAAGAAACAACTCCAATGATAATGCTTTGATTTCCTTGTGCTGTGTTTCAAAATTAATAACAACATGTTGCTGAAAGTGGAAGACATTGAAATGGAGACGTTCTGCTGCGGTGAGTAGCAGTTTATCTCTTGGATACTTCTTGAAAAAGAAGAACAGTGAAAATCAATTACAAAACCCAGGCAGGAAAATTCAAAAAAGTACAAAGAAAACTGTAGAAGAGCGGAATCTTCAAAGTGACAGCACTTAAAATGCATACAATAAACTGAATAAAAAAAGAGATTGAGAAAAGAAGAAAAAGGGTTCCTCAAGTGGGGGTGTACCATAAAATAAAACCCTTAAAATGGTAATTGAAGGATATTTTGTGCCATTTTCCCTGTACGTGACTTGCTCTACCAAATCATTTCAAAAGGATAAATGAATTAGCTTTCCCAATATACATTTTCCCCTCCTTATTAAAGGAGTTTTTATAAGCAATTTCCGTATATATATTTTTGCTTTTATATTTCAATTTCCTTATATATTTTTTGAATAAACCCAACTCAGACATCAGCACGTGTTGGAAAAAAAATATGAGGGACAGGGCTTCGAAAATAGAGCAGAGATTGAGTTTCCGCTTAAAACCGTCTAGACTCTGTTCCCTGCTCCCCTATTTTTTTCTAATTAAAACTCAGGGAAGGAAAATTTCAAGCCAGACACAAAAAGCGGGAAACTAAGGGGGGAGCAGCTACCCCAAAAAAAGAAAAACACAGATGTATGAAGAGTTTAAAGCATCAAGAGGGGGATAGCGCGTGCCCTTCTAGGCTTCAAAAAATACTCATATTATTGGATGTACTCGTGCTCGTACTCGTACCTCTCTTCCTTGGCTGTGCTGTGCATTTAAAAATAGCAAATAAGCAAACAAGCAATTATAAACCGAATTGAAAAGGGCTGTGCGTGATGTTAATGCTGAGCAACAGTCGCGGATCGCTACCAAAGGGGCGGCATAGAATGTTGTTGGGGAGAAGGGAGAAGTTCTACGGGGGCAGTAAAGGGCAGCAGGTGCTGCTCTGAAGCAACTTAAATGCCATACAAACACACACATATGTCCGCCCCAGACAATAA